TTTCTACTTGAGCTCTTGGTATCAGCTCCTCATTTTTCCCCCTCCCTCCCCCACCCGTAAAATTTCTTAATATGACTTTTCTACCCAAGTGTCTGTAACTCCCATCAAATGACTGAGTAGGACTATCCAAATAGGACCCGTGTAACACTAAATAGAAGAGGAGATTGGTCAGTTTCTGTTACACTCCCTTGGCTACAAGGAAGAATCATCTTTGAAAAGAGAGGACGTGGGAAGGGTACATTCATGGTATCTGTCTGAATTGGGGGAGGTCACTAGGACCAGATGCATCCAAGATTGCCATGGAGACTCAGAGGAGCAGTGTTGAGAATAGACTGCCTTCTCCTCACCTGGTTGGAGACTAATTTTCTACAGTGACTTCTTAGATACAATAGCACAAGCAAGATAAAATGTCTGGCACTCAGTATTGTTATTATATATGTCCAGCATTTGAGAGCTAGGAATTATGCCTCATATATCAATCCCTAGAACAGGCCACTGTCCATTTTCTAGACCACAGGATTATACCCACCAAAGTCAATTAAAGAATAAGAGTAATGAATAAATAAAGGATAGTAAATCTTCAAATAGAAGATAACCTGCTTAGATGTCCCTTATCTGAAACAAATCAAATATAAAGTCTTTATTTTAAAGATTCCTCCGATAAACAAGTGGCCATCTAGCTGAGAAGCAACAAAGCCCAGATGGACGAAGCACACCAGCCTGTATGATTATGAGGTGTTGATGGGATCAGGTACCGGGCATCAAAGACACAACAGAATCATACCCAAGATGAATGGAGAGTGCGGAGTGGGCATGGAGTGGAGACCCAATGCCCATCTGTAGACAATTGGACAGCCCCCTACAGAGGGGTCACAGGGAAGAAAAGAGCCAGTCAGGGTGCAGTATTGCCCTGATGAAACACACAACTTACCTCTAGTTCTTTGATGCTTCCTGCACCCCACTATCATGACCTCAATTCTACCTTACAAATTGGATTAGACCAGAACATGCACACTGCTACAGACAAGAGC